GCTGGCGTTGGTGGTGGCTGCTCCATGGGCCAGAACAGCGAGACCGTCAAGGTCGTCTTCTCCTAAGCGTTGCAACTATGAACAGGCTGGAGTTGGTCGTCTCTTGGGTCGTTTTGTGTATTACTCTTCGCCATATTCCCCCTTGTTCCTTGCTGACCTGAACATGTCTTCTTGCCAAGACAGTCTTCATGACTTAGTTGTCTGGCAAAATGCCCAAGCGCACTTTGGGTAGTGGTCGCAGGTCCATTCGCGTTACTTGTCAAGGCTCTTAGTGGTCTATGTGTATCTTGTAAATGTCTATTGTTAGTTTCGCAAATACCAAAAGCTGAAAAAAACCACACCACCTTCCCTACTTGATCCGACGTTGAAGTTTTGACGATCATGAGATTGCGCGTCATCATAGCTTGATGGATGATGATCGCAATCGGCCTGGCACCCATTCGGGAGGATCCTTGTCTTTCGATATTGGCGCTCGGCCATAAGTATGTTGCTTTCCTCAGGGTTGTTGCGCTCTAGCTCAGGCCATGAACCAGGACTCCGAAGGCCAATCTCCGAAGGTAATGCATATTCCCTGTGTACAGCTGATGTGTGCGTAGTGTTGGCAGACCCGTTGACGACTAACTCCCGCTTCACGATCTCGTTCCCGAGTGGCGCCGGATGCTTGAGGCTGCGATCGGAGGCCGCGCAGTCTGCTTGTAGCCCTGATTTATTGCTGCGTAAGAACTGTGAAGGCGAGATCTATATCACCCATTCCTGCCTTCGAGGAAGAGGCACTGGGTCAGATAGGTAGCGAGTACGTCATACCATAGTTCAGATCGTTTCGGAGATGGCGCGTGCGTTGTTGCTTCTCGGGCGGACGAAGGGCAGGTACAACGAAGGGATAGGCGGCAGACATATGGCGCATACTGGAAGCAATGTCCATCGAAAGGCAGTAGCTACGTGTATCCTTGGTCCACACGTGCAACAGTCGCGATTTAGTGCGTGGGAGTTGCAACTGCGACCTCGCGACAGAAGGTGGAAAGCGCGAGCATGAGATAGTAGTATAGAGTTTTGTAATGCAATAGAGTAAAAGAGGTAGTTCCGATCATCGGATTCGCCAGGTGGCAATGTAATTGATACACTCATTGAGTGTGAGATTGGGGAGGGAGGAACGATGTACAATCAAAAAGACACGAAGCACGTTGCGAAAGAGGTTCTGGGGAAACACTCTTCTTGCCACACACAAGAGAAAAGCTCAACCAGTGCAAGAATAACATGGCTTAGCTTACAGCCTACATTAGCTCCTGATGAGAACACTTGTGCAAGACAAATAGCATGTAGGCTTCGCTGTCCTTGCATGCTAGACAACAAGCTAAGCTGGATAACCGGCACGCACAAGAACCCCAAAATCACACGATGAGCTTCACCAGAATGACAAAACAACAACAGTGCAAATGGTTTCATAAATAATTCATTTCATGTGATACGCCCATTGCTATAGACAAACTCCGCATATGTCTGAGTGTCTAAGCAGCCGATTCCAACGCGAAAAGTGCTTTTCTACTCATACAAGTGGCAAGCTTCATGAATGCAACCAAAATCGACATGTAAGATGCAACATTTTCTGCCTCAGAGATTGACCATTTACAACTCATCGTGGTCATCGGGCATCTCATCGTCACCACCGGGGCCGCCAGAGCCGTAGAGCTTGGAGGTGATGGGGTAGGCGACATCGGACAGCTTCTGGAACTGCTCGTCAAAGTCCTCAGCGGCAGCCTCTGAGGCGTTGCTCTCGAGCCAGTCCTGGGTCTCCTTGACAGCCTCGAGGAGAGACTCCTTGTCCTCTTCCTCGATCTTGCCACCAAGACCCTCGTCGTCGTTGACCTGGTTCTTGAGGCTGTAGGCGTAGTTCTCGAGCTTGTTACGGGACTCAATGCGCTCACGGTTGGCCTTGTCTTCCTCGGCGTACTTCTCGGCTTCCTCAACCATGCGCTCAATGTCCTCCTTGCTAAGACGGCCCTTGTCGTTGGTAATGGTGATGGACTCGCCCTTACCAGTGCCCTTGTCAATAGCGGAGACCTTGAGGATACCGTTGGCATCGAGCTCGAAAGTGACCTCAATCTGGGGAACACCACGGGGAGCGGGAGGAATGTTGGTCAGCTCGAACTTTCCGAGCTGGTTGTTGTCCTTAGTCATGGATCTAGATATGAAGTCAGTGTATGTCTCATATGCATTTCGTAGGATCAAAACTTACCGCTCTCCTTCGAAGACCTGGATCAGGACTACGGGCTGGTTGTCGGCGGCCGTAGAGAAGATCTGGCTCTTCTTGGTAGGGATGGTAGTACCACGCTTGATGAGGGTAGTCATGACGCCACCAGTGGTCTCAATACCAAGAGTGAGAGGGTTGACATCCATGAGAATGAGCGATTCGGTAGCGGCGTCACCAGAGAGAACACCACCCTGAACGGCAGCACCGTAAGCAACAGCCTCATCGGGGTTGACATCCTTGCGAGCCTTCTTTCCGAAGAACTCCTCGAGCATGGCCTGGACCTTGGGAATACGAGTAGAACCACCGACAAGAACGATGTCGTCGATGTCGCTCTTCTTCATCTTGGCGTCCTTGAGAACCTGTTCAACGGGCTTGAGGGTCTTCTTGAAGAGGTCGTTGTTGAGCTCCTCGAACTTGGCGCGGGTAAGAGTCTCGGAGAAATCCTTGCCCTTGTGGAAAGACTCGATTTCGATCTTGGTGGTCTTCTGGGATGAGAGGGTACGCTTGGCCTTCTCGACCTCACGCTTCAGCTTACCCATGGTCTTGGAGTCCTTGGTGATGTCGACGTCGTTCTCCTTGTTGTACTTCTTGGTGAAGTAGTTGATGACACGGTTGTCGAAGTCCTCACCACCGAGATGAGTGTCACCAGCGGTAGACTGGACCTCGAAAACGCCCTCTTCGATAGTGAGGATGGACACATCGAAAGTACCACCACCGAGATCGTAGACGAGAACCTGGCGTTCCTTCTGGTCGGTCTGCGACGCGTTAGTTCAATCCTCGTATTGCAACAAGTGCATATCTTACCTTGTCGAGGCCGTAAGCCAGAGCGGCAGCGGTGGGCTCGTTCACAACACGGAGAACATTGAGACCAGCGATAGTTCCGGCGTCCTTGGTGGCGGCACGCTGGGCGTCGTTGAAGTAGGCGGGAACGGTAACAACAGCGTTCTTGACAGGCTCGCCGAGGTAGCTCTCCGCAACCTCCTTCATCTTAGCCAGAACCATAGCGGAAATCTCCTCGGGTGTGAAGGTAGTCTCCTTGCCGTGAACCTCAACGCCGACGTTGGGCTGGCCGTTCTTGTTGACAACCTTGAAGGGGAAGTGCTTGATGTCATTCTGAACAGACTTGTCCTTGAACTTCTGACCGATGAGACGTTTCTAATCCACAGTCAGTATGCCATTCTCCAAACAATAGTATACGGGGTTGTACGTACGATATCGAAGACGGTGCGTTCGGGGTTGGAGGCGAACTGGTTCTTGGCCGCGTCTCCGACAAGACGCTCGTCATCGGTGAAGGCTACCCAAGAAGGTGTGATACGGTTACCTGTAGAGGACACATGTCAGTTTTGGTGTATAGCATGGCTTGAACATGCAAACTTACCCTGGTCGTTGGTGATGATCTCAACCTTTCCGTTCTTCATGATACCGACACAAGAGTAGGTGGTTCCCAAGTCAATACCGATAACGGGGCCGGAGACACCATTGCTGTCCTCCGTGATGGGTTCCTGGTCCTGGGCATGTGCTGTCTTAGCCAGCATCAGACCGCCAACGAGGACGAGGAGAAGGTAGAAGGCGATGGACCATGTTGAGCGCTGGTTAGCGCCCCGCGAGCTTCGTGCCATTGTGATTTGTATGTGGTGTCTTTCAAAGACGGTGTGGCTTCAAGTGCCAGTTGCAAGTGCGGGCGTAACTCTCTTGGAGCTCGCAATGTGGTGGAGAAGACTGAGCTCTCCGGGTATCGTAAAGGAAGGAAAACAAAAGGCGAGTTGCGGTTGTTTGGTGGTGAGTGGAGGAGGAAGGGCAAGTAGTGGTGGGAAGGGCTACCTATTATATGGACCGCTCATGGAAGTATTTCGAAAGAACACCTTGCGATCTCGAGGATCTTGCTCCGGAAAAGGACTAGCGCCGAGCTCGCCCATGGTCCGTTCACTTTGCCCCAACCGCCCGCATCAGCCTCAATTTCACCTGCGTTTGATGCAACATGTTACAGGACACGTGGAATTCACTAAGCGCTTTCACTGCCCTCGTGTAATGTGTGACTCCGCGCTATGGGGTAGCTGTAGGCCACCGTAGCTTGTGGTGCCGTCATTTAGGAAGCGACAGTTACAATGTCGCTATCTGTTATCGCGTGTTTAGTACAGTTTACCCCTCCATCTAAGCGAACTCGAACATCTCGAGACCTCGGTGCTCTATCCATCTTGACTTTGAAATAGCCAATGAACATTTCAAAATTGTAAAACTCCCATCACTACCTTGTGCGAACCCCCGCGAGTCTTGGTCATCCTGTGAGTAATCTCGGATGTGGTCCTGGATGTCCCCTCCCAAGGTTCCAGGTGTCCTTTCGGTAGGCTCCCAAATCGCTAAGCAGATCTACACGAGACACGGGTCCACCACGAACATCATTCACCTTCATGACTCCTCCGTCTATATGCAACGTTTCCTCAAATCATGTTGCCACCGGCTGTGAAGCGACAGTGTTTCGGCGGTTTTCATAGTTGCCTGAAATGAGAAGGGATTGAACCACGTATCCATCTGACCGCCATTCACGACTGTCATCCCATACTTGCATTCACCAATGCATTCACCATTGACACAGACTTGCTTCTGAACTTGAAGGAGAATAGAAAAGCATCGGAATACCCTACGTTACGTCGCCTGATGCTTCATTTCGGATGTCTTGAGCTTGGCCAAGAGAATCTTCGCGATCTTTCCACTATCGCACTTTGCCGATCCGCCACTTCACCAGCAACCTCCATCACCATGCCTGCGCCAATGCCTGCTTCACGGTGCACAACATCGTAGCCCATTGGACACCGGATCTACTCCTCCAGGCAATGAAGCCTATGACTCCAGCACCCATGCCGTAAGGTATTGCATTCTTGGCAAACCTCGCCGCGACGTGCTTGAAGAACATATTCTGTTTCTGCCTAACCCTCTTGACGTGCTCTCCTCTCTTGTTCTTTACGGGAAATGGCGTGTTCGGTGTTTCTTTTTCCAAGAACTCACATAGCGGCTTCCAACCATCTTCTAACCGTAGCTCGAGCAAGCGCTCCGCCGGCACCGCAGCTCGGACTTCTGCATAATGTTGCTTATATCGATCCTTAGCAACCCGTCGCATGTCCTTCACATTGCGCACGCCGTAGAAACCGAGCATGATTTTGCGAATTGTCTTGCCGCCGTTGAGCCCGTAAAGTGGTCCCAACACGTTGATGACAATATCTGCGCGCAAACCCCACGTCGTACTAAAGATGGCCTCTTCCATACTGTCATACCACTCGTCGATATCACGCTCTACCAGGATAATCTTCGCCTCGGGATAGGCTTCGATCAGTTGCGTCGCGAAGAATGATCCCATGTCGGTGACGGCTTCGTAAGGCCCAAAGAGCATATCCCAGTCTGCGCGCGTGAATGGCTGACCCGTGTAGGTAGGGAGCACGGGAAAGAAGGCATCACAGGCCTTGCTGAACAACTGCCACTCAAGTGGTGAGCTTAGAGCCTGGATGCCATGATGTACACCTTCATATCCCAACATCTCAAGAGCTTGAGTTATCGAGGCCGATCCTATTTCACAAGTTGGTTTCAGCCATCCTTTCAAGGCGGCTAGGCACGATAAAGGGAAGTCACAAGTCTAGGAAACTCACCAGTACGTGTCATTCCCAGTGAAAGCACTTTCAGCTCGCGTTTGGGACGGTCGGCCATTGCTCAGACAGAACTTGGTCTAGTAACGGAGAAAGGTCAATGAGTGTATACGGTCGGTAGTAAGATCAGACTGCATTCTATCTCTACCAACCGAGGATTGGATGGAACAGTTATCACCGCGTGTCTGCTGTCCACCATGGACCGTGCTAGAGATGTTTGCGCAACGCAACTGCCAAAAAGCCAACCACGTGGTCAAGGGAGTGGCTATTTACCTGTGTTCCAATTCTATCGCCGAAGAGCGCCGACAGCCATCAGAACGATTCACGGGTATACCCCATTTCAGTTCTCAAAACGACCGGCCCGAACTTCAACGGACCGAGTAAAGTGCCCCCTGCAAATGCACAACAAATGATCGGCCAACACCCCAAACGTGCGACACATCATGCGCAACTACTATCTAGCTTTATCGACGTGTTTCCGGGTAGGACAACTCCGCTGCAAAAGGCATTTTAGGCAAAGCGGCGCTGTCAACCCCTTCAACTGACGGTATCTCTTTGAGAGATGACAGAATGAGCTATCGCCAGATGAGTTTGTATGCTGATGCAGCATACGTTGGACTTGGATCCTAATTAGTGCTAATTAATGTCTTGGCTTTATCGAAACCATGAGCGGCTTCTTCTCCCAGACTAAGTATGACTTCTGCGTGATCCACCAATCCTCCGAGCTACGGTTGAGGAATATATTAAAGTTCCAGAAGAGCTTGGCTAAGGCAAGCCTCATCTCGTTCATTGCCATACTAAATAGGCAATGAGTCAGTGATATACTAGTGACAAGAGAAGGGGAGTGGTTATGCTTACGTTTGCCCAATACAATCATGTCGACCATAGGAGAAAGGGCGGGAGGCGCCGCGGTCATCGTGAGTGAACTCTCCTTCTTTCGTCTGCAGCCACCTCTCAGGGATGAATTCGAGAGGTCGATGCCAGTTCCATGGAACATGGCAGGCCGCCAGATTGTGCACGCCTACGGCAGTCTTCGCGATTCGACTTGTCAGTTAAATGTCACCTTGGCGCTAACGGACAAGAAAAGACTTACACCTCCCGGAACCAATTTGCCGTCTATCTCCTCTCCACCCTCCGGAACCCAGCGCGGCAAAGCTGAAGGTGTAGGAGGTGACATGCGCATCGTCTCCTCGATGCAAGCTTTCAAGTAGGGTAGCTCACCAGCAGCAACCATGGTAATGTCAGCCTCGCTCGCGAATTTGTCTCGCACTTCAGCAACAACTCTTGCATAGACCTCTGGATGTCGACAGACGAAGAAGACGAAAGCAGTCATCGTGTACCTAGCGTCCATGTATGAAGTCAGTCTATTTCTCACATGCGATTCGTTCAGGGACGTTTTCTTACGTAGTCGTGTTGCTGCCCGCCACGATCAACGCACTTGCCATACCAAACAAGTCCATATTGCTTAGGTTTTCCCTGTCGTTACCAAGGATATAGCTCATGAAGTCCCTTCTCTTTCCCTTTCTTTTCCCGCTACGCTCCTCTTCGATCCGTCGCTGCACCTTCTGTAGCGTCAGAGTTTGGTGCCGCTTGCGCGCCTCCATGGCTGCTTTGGGCATGATCCATCTCAAAATCCACTCGACGTGGTAGTACACAGCAAACTGGTACCAAACAATACTCTTGACGCGCGACCCAATGACTTCGAGCCAGGGCTCATCTACACGGTCTAGACAGCCAGCCGGCTGACCAAACGCTAGATCGCTCATGATATCGAAACTGAGTAGAGCAAACCATCGTAAGATATTCTGCTCAGTGACACTATACTGTGGCTTTCGTAGCTGTGCGATTAGTCGATCAGTGTGGTCGCGGAAGAAGTCTTCTTGGTCGCGTAAGGCACGCTCACTGAAGGCGGGCTGGAGGGCACGGCGGAGGATAGTGTGCCGCTCGGGCGTCTCGGTGACAATGCTGCGACGCCCGTTAACAACCGCTGGAGCGATACCACGACCGTCCAGACATTTGAGAAACTCGCGCGGCGGTGGAGTGCCGTCTATCTTTTTCAGAGCTGTGCTGCTCGTATACGACAGCTCATCTGGAGCAACACGTATCACGCTGCTATTGTAATGCAAATGCATATCACGAATGCGCCATGCGAGGTTCCCTTGTAGGTTCACATAGTTCCAGGGAACGCGGGAGATTGCCCAGAGTTTTGGACCTGGAAAGGCTGACAGAGGATGGAAGAAGAGGTAGTAGATGGAGCGAACGAGGAAGTACACGATAGGCTGTGCTAGGTTAGACTCTTGTATCTGTATAACAGTTGTAGAAGTATCAACCTACACTGGTGCAGATAGAACAGGCTATAACAAACAACATGTTCGCGCTCAAGCTGGTAGTCTTGCCTCTGGAATTGCTCGCCTTGATTCGTTTTTCGAGTCTTGAAGCAGCAGGTCCATCGTCGCGCGCTGGAGGGAGTGGTGTTGAACATGTTCCTCTTCCCGTAAGTATAACGAGCCAATTGAAACAGATAGATATACACGTGGTTTATTGATTTATTCTGAGCCTCTGGCATCTAACATAGCTGTAGATGCAGTCTTCGGCTTTTACCACCCCGCAGCTCAGGCCCTCGGTGGTATTGGTACCTTGAAGCCGCATTCGGCCCGCCTTAGTTGGCTAACTTTAGTCGTTGTTGACTTATACAATGACTCGCTGCCCGGTGCTCATACAACGGCTGTCTGGATAGAAAAGGAAAAGACGATACCTGCACGTACATTGCGTTCTGTACTATTTGTGGGGAGAACATGGCGCAACACCGGACTCATTCTTGAGATAGTACCGAACAACCGGTTGGAATAACCGGAAAAGGAAACCAATTACGATAAAGATGATACCAACGACTCACTCGACGGCTACCCTCAATCGGCACATGACCGCAGCATCTTTTGCCACTGGACTGCCAGGGCTACACACAACAGTGAAGTTATGCCAATCGCGCTTCATGTCAATATCCAGACCCTCAATAATATCATACCTCTGCAACATTCTTACTAGCACATATCCAGCCTCTGTAAGGGCAAATTGCTGGCCAATACAGATACGCGGTCCACCATTGAAAGGAACATATTGCCAACTCATTCCTGGCCTCCTCTTTTCCCATCGCTCAGGCACAAAATCGTCGGCGTCTTCGCCCCACAGATCTTTCCGTCGATGCAGCACATGCGTACTGAAGTTGACTTCGGTACCCTTGGGTACGAACACAGGCATGCTTCCATCCGGTCCGCCGCCGACAGGGAGCGTCGTATCTCGTGCAGCGCAGCGAGAATTGAATGGAACGACTGAATGTAGCCGTAGTGTTTCGTTCAGAACATGTTGTAGGTATGTGCAGCCCTTGAGATTCTCGAATGTTATCGTCTGCCCAACTTTCGTTGAGTAAGGGCCGAATTCTGCAAGAACAGTTTCGCGTAGCTTTGTATACACTCTTGGGCTTCTTACTAGGCAGTAGAACACCCAGGCTGTAAGTGACGCTGTGGTATCTCTGCCTGCGGCCAACAAGCCCAACACTTGCTCGCGTACCTCGGCACGATCAGAACAACGCGTACGTAGTGATTCGAGAAAGTCGTAGCGAAGTTGTGATGAGCCTGACTTCCGTGCTTGATCAGCGGCATCTATGGCACTGTCCACGAAAGTGTGAAGTGTGTTGATGCACTTTTCGAGTTCTTTGTTACCGTATAGCCAGTATAGGCTTCGTAGTCGCATCCTTGTCCCTAAGATTGCGAGCATGCGCTCGAAAGCATGATCGAAACTGTACTCATCGTGTTCATCATTGATGCTATTCTGCTGCTGTTTGACGAGCACTGTATTGAGGGAGTGTGTGCTTTGTCCGAGGAACAATTCAGTTGCCGAATCCATAGTCAAACGCGGTAACAGTACAGCCAAGCTCACAGGTGCTGACCATGCTCGGTCCTCAGCATCAGTCGTCAATCCCTCGTTTTTCGTCTCTATGATCCGCAACATAGTCTGTACATGTTCCTCGAGCAACTCAAGCCGAGAAACATTCTCTCTATTGAAGATCGGCCGCATCGTCTCCCTTGCACGATGCCATGCTTTGCCATCCACAGCAAAGATACTGCGCCCAAGCGCCGTCTTCAAGTTTGTTCTCCTCGCTGTGCCCATAATAAAGTCATCGAATTGCGTTGCGAGGAGTGCTTGTACGTTACGTGGATCGGCTGTGATGAGGTTCGATGTCCCCAGCAGTGATAGCCCCCACGTATGGCGACCCATGGCTTCGAAGCGGGAGGCTATAAAATCAGGCGTTCTTTGCTCTTTGTCTGCTTGTAGGCTTCGGCGTACGGTGTCGATGCCCAGAGGCCATCGACTTGGCTCAAATGACACTGAGCCACATCCGAGACGGCGGCTCTTGAGGAAGGTCTGTAAGGGTCTTACGAGAAAAGTATTAACAACGTGAACGATGAGCAATATACCCGCCCCTAGGATTGGGAGAATTATTTGCATCTTGAATGATAGCGATTTGACACTTCTCAAGTTCGTACTGCCGTCTGGATGACGCGCCACTGGCGACTTAAATATACCAACGAGCCATTCATTCTCGGGCAGCAACTCGGGCCCACGTGTAGTGCACTAGACATGGGGTCTATGCCCGCTCAAAGTCTTGGTCTGTGTGCTGACTGCCGCCGACTATTTGACCTTCCTAGCAAGAAAAGCTAGTAGGGCCCGTCAAGATCACTGCCGCAACTCTAATGATGGACGCACCTTATTTTCGCTATCTCTTGTTTGAGATCATGTCCAGCCACATTGCATCTTCATGTACAGCTACTAGCTATCTATATGACTAGCCATACATTACAAACATCATAAGCACTTCTACAGCTTCTTATCATACTGTCACTATTCGATCAAATCGGACATAGGCGTCAGCTTGACCTGCAAAGGCAACTTTTCCCATACCAGGTAGGTGCCTTGCTGGTTCCACCAGTCATTTTCGGGGTCGTGAAGCTCCCAGTCGAAATACCGTACCAACTTCGCCATCATGAGAGACATCTCGGCATAGGCCATGGATCGTCCAATACAAGCCCTCTGACCATACGAGAATGGCTGAACTGCAGAACGATCGTCATCCTTAAACTCAGAGTCAGGCTCGTCGAGCCAGCGCTCGGGATGGAACTCGCGCGCCTTCCTGAAGTTACGTTCGGAGTGGCCGGCCGCCAGCTGGTTAACACCAACAGCGTAACCCCCCGGAACCCATTTGCCTTCAATCATCTCACCCTTTCCAGGAACGAACCGCGGCAGCGAACCCGGTGTTGGCGGATAGAGACGCATACCCTCGTTGAGGCAGGCGCGCAGGTACTTGCAGCTGGTCACGGCCTGAAGGGTCATATCCGCGCGGCTTTTGAACAAACTGCGTATTTCTCGTTTGAGCTTGTTCAACTTGTCTGGGTTGCGCAGCAGAAGATATGTCAAGCCGGACATTCCACCGGCAGATGTGCCGCTACCTGCTACGATGAAGTTGGAAGAGAGCATCACCAGTTCGAGGTGGTTGAGCTTCTCATCGTTTTCGAGAATGTATGACATGAAGTCTTTGCCAGGGTTTTTAGCTTCAACTCGCGCCTTGAGCTTGGCCTCAGTCATAGCGATGTGTTTCTTCCTCGATTCAGTAACGTACTTTGGTGTCATCCAGTTGAGAAGACCCATGAATCCATACTGTACGGCAAGCTGAAACCAGACAATGGCTTTGGCACGAGCGAGTATGGCTTGGATCCATGGTTGATCAGGGTTGTTGACGCAGCCTGACGGCTCACCAAAAGCCAGATCAGATACGATGTCAAATGCGACGAGATTGTACCAAGTAGTCATGTCTAGGGGTCCGTCTTTGCACCGTTGCTTCAGCTTCTCAACAAGATTGTCCGAGTGGTCTTGGAAGTAGCTCTCCTGTTCGCGTCTAGTATCATAAAGTCAGTATGGTGGAGTAACGCCTACAGATCAAGGAAGAGCATCCAGACTTACAGTGCTCTCTGACTAAATGCAGGATCTATGGCCCTCCTTAGCCTCAGATGTCTGTCTTGGTGCTCCGTCATCAAGCTACGTTGGCCACCGATACTCGCAGGCGCAATGCCTCTGCCGTCGAGAGCCTTGACGAACTCAGGGTTTCGCTGTCCATATGTTTTCTTCCACGCGCCAGATGTCGTATACGAGATTTCATCTGGCGCGATACGCACAACAGGACCGTACTTGTCGTGGAGCTCGCGGATCTTCCAGCTGATGCGACCCTTCATGTTTGCGCGATTCCATGGTAGCCGAGAGATGGCCCAGAGCTTTGGACCTGGGTAGCCAGCTAAGGGGCTTAGGTAGAGATTGTAAACAGTCTTGAGAAAGACATAAAGTAGTGACTGCGCACTTTTGTGAGCTTTTGCGGGAGGAAATCCAGCTTCTGCGAACTTACAAAAACAACTGCACCGGTGGTGATATTTCTAACTGTCAACGATGGCAATTGATCAAGCTGATGTGACAAGCCACCTGGTACAGAAAATGCTGCCATGGTACCTAAGTACTGTGGAATTACCAAAATACAGCAAAATCGATACTCAGCGCTCCAAGTCCCGGAAGAAAGACGATACAGTATTCTTCAGCCAGCATTCCAGCGACAGCTCAGACTGGCGGGGAAATCTACCGCGACATGTCTCGATAGTACTCGACTTCAGTGAAGCGCTGCGTTCTCCCACCCTGTCCTCAGGCCTCGTAGTCGCCGAGTGATGGTGCCGAGCAAAAGTATCCAATAAGGCCTCTTCATTGTTGCACGCTCAGCAAGAAAACGTGTATACAAAGATTACTCAAGGTGTTCTGGAGGGAAGATGCATATGTCGGTCCAGGTGACCTGGACTTTTATTCGGCCCTTGCAGGTCGGCCCGATTCCTTCTCCGAGATAATGTGCAGGCTGTTAGACATCGTGCAGATCATTAACATGTGGTGCGTGTACATTTGCGGGTACCATTTCCCCACGTGGGTCTACCTACAGTAAGCAAATAACTATGTGAAGCTTGGCCACGTGCTGTGGATATATGGTAAAGCTTGACCCAAGGTTGAGTGGAAAATGATGCAGGGGTTCTACGCAACTGTGCAAGGCAATGTGGAGCCTCTCTACACACGCACATGGGTCTAGAAGTATGTCAGTTCTTCCTGCGTAGCAATCAGCACGCGAGATTACCGGTCGTAGGTCTGCTGGTATGCTGAGGTCTCCATCGACTACAACGGTCAGTGACTACTACATCCATAGCTGAGTACTTCGTTGATATCAAGACCTTCTGTTTGGTCTAATTTCCCCTTATATTTCAAGCTCTCTCTGCATCATCATCAAATTCTTCGGTTAGCATTCAGATCACCGGTACATATCCAGAACATGGATTGTCAGCAAAGCGGCGATGACCTCATCTCGCTGGCAGTCACAATTCGCACCGAGCTTGAGCGAAAGCTGTCGAACAAGGCGCGTGTCCATCTACCATCTGATGAGGACAAAACAGAGTTCGAAAAAGCCAATCTGCGCTTTACTCAGTATGAGCGTCCAACGTACCTCGCTATTGTCGATCCAGTCTGTGAAAACGATGTGATCGAGGTCGTCAAGTACGCGAGGGAAAAAGGTATTCCGTTTACACCTCGTGGCGGTCATCATTCAGTCACAACCACAATGGGACGCTTCCAGAATGGCATATGTATCAATATGCGTCCGCTGAACCAGATGCGATGGGATGCCGAGAATCGCCATGTCACTATTGGTGGTGGAGCGATAACTGATGAGTTCGTGCGCTTTGTGCATGACTTGGGTATGGAAGTTAGTATGTATCATGTGCCGCTTTGCTGGACGGGTTTTGTTAACGGGACAAAGATGTAGGATCGTGCCCGACTACAGGGGTTATTGGTGTAGCATTTGGGGCGGGCCTAGGACGTCTGCAAGGAAAATACGGCTTCCTGAATGATAACATGATCTCTTGCAAGCTCGTGCTCGCCGACGGGAGTATAGTAGTTGCATCCAAGAACTCCCATCCGGATCTTTTTTGGGGCCTCCGGGGAGCAGGTCATAACTTTGGCATCGCACTTGAAGCCACCTTCCAGGTATACCCGCAAGCACATGGGGGTATACACCATACTTGGGATTTGGAGTACACTCTAGATCAGTGCGACGAGGTCTTCAGGACGCTGAACAGCGTCTATGAGAGTATGCCTGCAGAACTGGCAATCTTCGTCCTATGGCTGCGCCAAAGTAGTGGTCGCAAGGTACGCCTTTTCATGAGGAGCATGTCGACGCCGCTTATAAGATCCAGCACATCATTCTCGTCAACTTAGTCTGGTCCGGTACAGCTGCAGACGCAGATCCCTATGTGCAGCGTTTCGAGTCTCTAGAGCCAGTCTTGAGTAGTGGGCGAGAATCCATATCATGGCCAGAACTACCTTTCTCAACGTACAAAGAGATGAACAAGCTCTTGTGCAAGCCCGAAATTTGGCTTCGTGGTCCCTACAAGATGATGGGGGCCGCTTGCGTCGAAACATTTGACTTGAAGACAACACGTGAGTTCTTCGAGAGCGTCAAATCCATGAGTGAGGAGTGGGAAGATCGTGGTTGGTTCAGTGCCATGTTTGAGTGTCTACCCGATCAGCGTGTTCGCGAGATTTCTGACGATGCGACGGCGTTTCCGTGGCGTGGAGGGTCAAACCATTTCCTGTGAGTCAACTCCATTGACCCCTCTCGAAAACAGCTCCTAATATGAGAGCTGCAGAATGCTGAATGCTACACCAAAGCGAATGGAAGATCGGAAGGTCTTTGAGGATCACCTCAATTACTGGAAGAGACGCTTCATTGAAACGTCTGGGTATGGCCGTTTGCAGCAATACGTGAGCTATGGCAACGGTACGTCAACTATGAAGGATCCGCCAGAGGCGCTATATGGCTACGAGCCATGGAGGCTAGAGAGACTGCGGCACCTCAAGATGAAGTACGATCCGGATAATGTGTTTCGGTGGTACCAACCACTTGTTGATTCGTGAGGTATCTTTTGCCGGTCTTGGAGCAGTTTTTAAACGCAGACATAGCCTATCAAGGAGACGCCATCTATCAAGGAGACGCCATCTATCAAGGTGCCATTGAGGGCAAAATAGTTTTTCTTGCGAACACGCATGTTTCTTTCCGCGTTGCGATGGCTTCATTCGTGTACTACGAGGCCTGTCGAAAGCTTTAGCAGGTTAGCAGATCTGACTACAAATGCTTGCTGAGTAGCAAAACGCCGCTTGAGTATATGTCAGCATGAATAAAGGCCTGTAAACCCTAGCATAACTTCAAAAACTAGCGAGCTCCTGGTCGCAGAAACGAGCGGACACTGTAGCGTATTACGACTCATGTCGGGCTTCAGATGATGCCTAGAGGTATACGGTCTGGAGAAATTTCTAGAGCCGACGCTGATAATTGTCCGAGTATACGGGCCTTCAGTGGGTCCAGATAGTGTTGGTCC